AGGTTCTGACTTGCCGAGTCAAAGTCACAGGACCCAATGACTACATAATCATTACCTGCCTACCACAAGTGCCTTTTCATCATTCACATCTGATCTTTCTGAATACTTTCCTTCGTTTTTGTGTGTAAACAGTCTTAGTACACAATGAGAACAATTGTCAGCAAAAACAGAAAGTAAACAACCAAGCCTGGCATCCAGGGATTCCAGAATTTTAGGAGGACTAGGTGGCATATTGGAAATGTTCTCTGGAAAACAGGAGCTATTGATCATACCAGCTACATGACAGGACTCTCCCTTAAACCCCAAGTGACTTTTCTCCAGCTTTAAGATGCCACAGAGACTTTGAGACACTTGCTTAACGGAATGGCCCCAGCAGCTCAATAATGTGGCCTCTGTGACTGATGAAGTACTCACGGAAGGCAGGGAGCTCCAGACACTAGGTATGGGAAGCTCTCTACATCTGCCACCAACTGTCCATTACTTGGCCTAGTTACACCAGACACCCAGAGCCAGCCTACAACCCCTTCCTCCCAGGCCTCATCCTCCCTCGCCTGAGCAGACGCTACCCATATATTGGCTATTTCGCCTCACTGTTAAGGTAGCCAGATCCAAGGGGCCGACAGCAGCTGGGCCAAGATAGATGTCCAATGGGAAAGAGGCCAGGTTCGGGATACGGCTTACCTAATCTTCACCAACACTCCCCTTTGGGACAAACACAACATGTGAGTATCTGCCCTATTTCCTAATAGAAATTGGAGGCTTCCAAAGGCCATATATGGCCTGGGCCACTGAATAGCAACAGAGCAAAACCAGGTCTCTTTCGTATCCCATTCTGCCTAAGAGGCACCAGTTTGTGAACTGCAAAGAAATCCACATCCGAAGGAATGCAGGAACCTACCCTGCTTACAGCACACACCCCCCCAGGAGAGGATACACAGGCTGGATACTCAGCACGGACACAGGGGCAGTGCGGTCAGTTCTACCTGTGTTCCTACAATTCCCACCTGTCCAATGACACCCATCAGGGGTCATAGTGGAAGCACAACATCTTTTTCCTGATACCACAGAGGGTATGTGAGGTGGGAGGGCAGGCATACATGGGAACACCCAGCGAGGCAAAGTACTCCCCAGGCAATGCTGGGCTACCACTCAGCTACTGCTCAGGTTAACTAGTTTTCCCTTAAGGAATGGTACACCCTTTCTGAGTTCATCCCATGGGAGGTTCCCAGTTCCAGTCTGGAGTCCTCCTTGAGTGTGCTGAGCACATGCTTGACCATAATCCAAGCTTTTCTGGCCACAAGACAGAAATGGATTGTGGCATCGGGACCACTGTTGGGGTGCTGTTTCTCTCTCTCCCTCGCACATGGAGGAAATAAGTGAACAAACATTTTAAAGAATTATACTTAAAAATTCACCCAGAGCTCTGCATGGCTGAGCAGGGCTTGCCATCGGTGGGTGGCAGGTCAACTACATGGCCCTCCCACCAAGGTCACTCCCAGGTCACCTCTCATTGCTCTCCTCCAAGTAGTCAGATCCTCGGATAACTCAACTTGGAAGAGAAACTGGCAAGTGCTAAGGAAGTCTCTTGTGTCTCCCTGCTTCTATTCTCACTCAGCTGGCCTTTCTCCATGGCTTCCACCCAGTCCAAAAATGCCCTAGCGAGGGAAGGAGGAGTAGAAGTTCTGGGCCCTGGAGCCTGCCGGGAGCTGGTTCATCAAAGCTGCAATTTCCTCCACGGATCCCTCTTTTGCTGAGAAGGCAGCTGTGGGCCCTCACGAGCTCACACATTCCCCTCCTTGTTCTCATCCTGTCTGCAGGAGCTGGAGGACTCTCCTGCATACTGGCATAAATGTCTCTGTCCCAATCTGCAGAACCATCTCTGTCAGGATTTGGGTTTGTTTTCTCAATTAACTGAAAACGCTGTCATGGAAGCCAGGGAGCTGGCAGGGGCCTGACCTTCGGCGGCTGCTAGAAAAAAATTCTTGCTTTGAAATCTGGATCTCTCATGCCCTGCATGGGATGCCAAAATAAACAGGGACACTGGATCAGGCGGGGTGGGCTCATGTTACAGGGCCAGTGATGGATTTAGCTATAGGATGCTTCAGGGCCCAACAGGTGATGAGATCCCGATTTCCCAAAATGGCACGGCTAGACCCCAAAAAGCCCCCATGTGTGACATGGGTTCTAGAGGAACAAGGGAGGGGTCATTGGGCCTATGGCAACAATACTTCCCGAGGGCCTACTGCCTGACAGGCAAAGAGCAGGGGGTGGGAGAGGCAGCAGTGATAGCAGGTCCTGCTGATTCCTGCCTTTGAAATAAAGTTTGGAACAAAGTACTCAAGTGCAGCATACGTGAGGCATTAACAAAGTGATGAGGTCACGGAAGGGAGGGAGAGCTTCCTGTACCAGTGAGGGCAAGAGGGTGGAGGATCATGGCAGGTTCCAAAGAGGGAACATCCGACCTGAGCTATGAGTCAAACTCGGATGGGTAGGTAGGCTGCGTGAAGAAGAGAAGGAGGAGGAATGGCATCCCAGCTGGGGGAGACTACACAGGCAAAGGCCAGGAACATGAAAGAAGAGTGTGTCTGAGACAGAGAGGCATGGCTGGAGACTGGGGTCTAGAAAGAATCAGTGTGCAAGATGCACCTGCAAGTGTAGAAGTGGGTAGACCCATCATGCTCGGAGGTCAAGCAGGCCTTGAGGGGCTATCTAATGCTTTTCAGCAAGGGTTGACTTCATCCAGTTCAGGGGTTGGGAAATTGTGGCCCACAAGCCAAATCTGGCCACCAGCCTTATTTGATAAGCACAGCTTCACTGGAACCCAGCCACGCCCACTCCTGTACATACTGTTCACAGCTGCTCCGATGCTACAACAGCAAAGTGGAGGACTGGAGACCATGTGACCCCAAAAGCCAAGATATTTACTACCAGGACCTTTGCAGAAAATGTTTGCCAATTCCTAAAGCAGAAGATGGGCAAGGGAGAGCAGGAGATGGAGAAAGGAAGAGCAGGAGGATTGCCCAGGATCCAGTTGAGGGGTGGTTCCTTGGAGCATAAGACAGAAGTCAGTAAGACCCCAGGCAACCTTGTGGCAGGACCCAGGACCTCAGCAGGAAGAGGAGGAAAGGGAAATGTCAGGGAAGAGGAAATACAATCCTGAGTAGTCTCTTGTCTCCAGCCCTCCTGCATTGCTGGAATATCTAGTCCAGATGGATGCTGGCCGCCAGCTCTGCCTAAAGGCTGAGAAACCAGGCCAGCAGGATGTGACCTGGACACCCGATATCCACAATTCCCTGCATCAGGGATTGGGCTATGCCTTCTCCCCTAACAGCTGGGCCCCAGGAAAGGCTGGAAGTTCTGAATGACCAAGAACATCTCCTTTTGAGAGGAAGTCACACGATGTTCCAGAGAGGCCCCCACTCCTCTTCCCAGGCTCTGTAGGAGTTGTCCCATCTGCAAAGTTGTCCCATCTCCCAGAGAGGAGGAATGGTTTACCAAGGTCAGAGATACTGTATCTGAAGCTACCAGTTTGGGGTTCTTCCTCTCTCCTAATTTTGCCCATTCTCTGGGTCTCTGGACAATGTCCAGCCTGAGCCTAGACACTGGAAGGGCTGGAAGACTCAGACTCCAGGCTGCCTTGCCCCAGCTGAGTCCAGTTCACTCTGCCCAAGAAGGGAGGATGCCGGACCATTTCCTCTTGGGACACCCTGACCACTCCTCCCTTTCTGCAGTAGAATCACTGTAGCCTTTCTTCATCTTTGGCACTTTGGAGCTTCCAAGCATACAATGTAAATTCCAGTTTAAGAAACAAAGCACTAGGGAACCAGCAGTTAGGGTAATGGCTATGTCGCTGGACTCCCACGTAGTCGACCATGGTTCGCGTCCCGGACCCGTACGCCGGGCACATGTGTGTACGTGCCCAAGATCCCGAGAGGAGAATGGAGGAGAAGGGATTGCGGCGTGACCATCCCCCCTGGGGGGTGATTTCTCGCTTTCTGTCTCTATGTCTCTCGCTGTCTGTCTGGCGAGCGCACGTGCCCTATAGCGAAAATCTCTCCAAAATAAAAAAGAAACAAAGCACTAAAAGTTAAACACTATCGTTTTAGGAAACCACTTGGTGCCAATTTACACACAAACATCAAGTTGGAGACTAAAATCTCATGTCAGGAGTAGGCTATACAGTGGTTCTTCTGATAATTTAGAATGGAGGTATTGGATTTTTAGATGACTGTTAAAGACAAAATGAAACATTTCTCAAGGAAAAGAACACTTTTAAGTAATTCTCAGACTGGAGAAAACATGTGCACACTTCCCCCAAAGGCTCTCTGAGTTCTAGTATAAAGACTCTGGATGGGGGTGAGGATGCAGACTGCGGGCTTAGGCTGGCCTGGTCTGTGTCCCAGCTGTGTCTTGGGTGACCCCCACAATGTCCAGCACATAGCAAGCCATCAGTTCAACTTTGTTAAGCAAGCATATGAGTGTCTGAATCTTAGTTTGAGTCTTAGTTCTCAATTTACCAGCTGTATCCTTAGGCAAAGTCCTTAATAGCTGAGCCTTAGTTTCTTCGTCGGTAAAATCTAAAAACTATTCATGGCTCAAAAAGTTACTGCAAGAATTCAGTAAAACGGTAAGTCCTTGGCACAGGGATCCGTGTGTTCAAACTACAGACTAAATGGTAACTATTCTTGTCACTTTTCAAAGACCGCTTTAATCCCATATCCGAAATATCTTTCCCAATCTTCACAGCCTCCGAGTTTCATCATGACATTTGCTGGTTCAGTAAATCCCCAGCACAGAGCCTGGCTCAAGTATGAGCACAGAAAACATCTGTCAGAGCAGAATTTAGCAGAGAGCTTCTCTCATTCAGAAGCCCTGGCCTCGGGTAAGTGCCAAGGCCTGAGGCTGCTACTGCGTCCTGCCTTCTCTGTGGAAAGCTACCCCTTTGGCACAACCCCCCGTGCCCCACACCAAACCTGGGCATTCAAAGCCAGAGAACTCACCTGTGTCCATGCCACGGGAATAGGGTTCAGGGGCCATCTGCTCTGTAGAGGGTGGGCTGCTGACTCAGCCCCATTCTCCTTGCTGCACAGACCTCTCCCCCACTCTGCTCCTTCTCACGCCAGCCTTAGGCAGCGTGGGCCTTTACCCGAGGTGGTGTTCCCAGGCTTTGGCAATAACAGGCCCTCCATTCTTCCCTGCCCTTGGCAGACCTGCCTCCTCCCACTATGCTACTAACACTGTCAGCTATGGTCCATGAGCAGCTACTCCCGGTCCAGGGAGACAACGCAGACCACTCTAAGGCCTGGGGTATAAGTCCGGGGCCTGGGGAAAAAGCCCAGGATCTGGTTTGTCCCTCACCCCAGAAAGAAGAGGAACTGGCTTGATTCTGGCTGAAATAAACTCACTGGGTCACTTGCTTCACCCTCAGGCTGCAAATGTCATTTGACTTCCAGCATCTTCCAAACAGCCTGACTGACCACACTTTGTTTTCTCCAAATGAGGGAGAAATCTGACATCTGCCCCTCCCGATCTCCACTCCTCAGGCAGGGCTTCAGCCTTGTCCAGATGTCAGCTCTCAGCTCCCAGGCTCAAGGGTAACACCACTAGGAGCAAGGTTAGGGGCTATCCTCAAGCTCCAGGCTCACTGCCCACTGGGAATCCCAGCCCCCACCTCTGTCCCTCTCTCACATTTGCCCATTGAATACCACTGGCGAGAATCACCAGAACACAATCCAAAATCTGTAATCTGCAACCTAAACGGGAGGATGCAACGTGGGTTTCTCTCACTCACCAAGTTTATCCAGCTATTTTCCAACTTTCTTTTTAGGGCTCTTGAGCTCAGTCCTCAAGAATGATCCTCTTATATCCCAGAGCCAAAGCCGGGTGGTGGGAGCCCAAGGCAGCAGTGGGGGGCTGTGGACCAGGAGTCCTTTCATGGGCATGGATTCCTGAGGTTGTACACTTGATTGCAGCCCCTCCCTGACACACCACCCCCCCAGGCTCCAGTACTCAAATCCAGCCCAAGAGGGTCCCAGCTGCAGCCCAGTGAGGTACAACACAGGGGAGGCAGAGCTGCTGTGGAGTAGCCTCCTGTGTGGCTGCTTTCTTAAACGGTCAGTCTACTCCAGGAGCCATAGGGAGCTAAAAACCTAGGAAAGCAGCAGTGGAGGATGAGCCAGATCCTGCAGGGAAATGCGCTGAGCAAGCACCAGGAGCCTCGTCTCTGTCCATCCTCCTGACATGTGGGACACTGAGGCACAGAGACCTTTCTCCAGCAGAAGGTTCTCCTCCCTCAACTCCTACTATAGGCTGGACTCGCCAGGGGCAGTATAAAAACCAAAAATAATTATTAACTTGTTACTGCGAGTAAGGCACTTTCTTAAGTGTTCTGCACAAAGAAACATATTTAATCCCCACAGAAACTTTAGGAGTTCGGAACTGCTAATGATATCATTTTCATTTTATAAATGAGGACACTGAGGCCTAGAGAGAGGGTAAACTGACAAGGTCTCACGGCAAAGTGACAATTAGGCCATGAACAAAAGGGATTCTACTGGAACTCAACCACTAAGTTCCCCTATAAGAGTCCAAGGAAACCTCAACGCACCAATCTGCATCTGCAAATCAGAACCCCTACCAGGGTCTAGTTGGACTAGGCAAACTCAGGACAAGGTATCTGCATAGCCAGGGTAATAATGAGGCCACAGCTGTCAGTCAGAACCCAGAATGGTCCTGCCAGTTTTATGCAGCCTGGGCTATACCCAACCCAGGCACCCAGTCCAAAACCCCTAGCATTTGAATATTTGGAGGGGGGGGTGTCACTGAAAGAGAAAATACACAGAATGCCAGAGCATAAATAACCAAAGAGATCACATTGCTCAAAACCCCTCTAGACAGCCAGGAAAACTGGGATCCAGACTGGGGACAAGCTTTTCAGAACCACAGAGTGAGATGGTAGCAACGTGAGAATTGGCTTCTGAACCATTTCCAACACGTCTGACCCAAGCAAGACAAATGCAGCTTAATGGGTTTGTACTAAAAGGAAATCACAAGTATACAACATACAAATGGTTCTTGAATTCAACACTACACACCAAAAACACATCATGAAAATGCTAAAAAAAAAAAAAAAAAAAAAAACTAGAAGGTGTTCAGTAACAGTATTACATTTTAGTCACCTAGAGGCCAGGGCATGTCATTCCCACATCCTCCTATTACCTCTCCTATGAATAAAGGTGGTACACAGATGTAAGGCTAAGACTATTTCTGTACTGACTTAGTAGAATGCATTGAAATGGGAATACCATGGGTTGATATTTCTGTTCATCCTCAGGTAAAATTATTTACAGTTGTGCTAGTAACTGGAGCTTAATCAAATATTGTTGGTTCCCAACCCAAACTCCAGGCACAAAGCAATTTGTGCTTCCTGGCCCTTGGTGTTTGGGTAGAGCCACAGTACTAATTATAGCACATGAGCTAAGGAGTCAAAGTTGAGTGTTAGGATGGTTAATTTTATGTGCCAACTTGGCTAGGCAATAGGACCAGATATTTAGTCAAACACCAATCTAAATGTTGCTGTGAAGACATTTTTAAAAGATGTTTGACAGTTAAATTAGTAGTTTTTGAATAAAACAGATTATCCTTCACAATGTGAGTAGGCACCATCCAAACAGCTGACGTCCATAAGAGAAAAAGATCTAAGTTCCTGAAAGAAATGGTTACATCGCTGGACTCCCACATGGCTGAATATGGTTTGAGTTCCAGACCTGGTGGCTTGAAACTCAGTGCTGGGTGTATGTGCATGTGTGCCCAAAATACCAAGAAGAGAATGGGGGAGCAAGGATTGCAACATGGCCATCACCCCTGGGAGGGGGTGATTTCTCACTTTCCATCTGTCTCTCTCTGTCTCTTCAGCAAGCATACATAGCAAAAGTTTCTCTTAAAAAAAAAGTGGGGGTACCAGCAGTTAGCATAATGGCTATGTTGCTGGACTCCCTTTGTAGTCGACCGTGGTTCAAGTCCTGGACCTAGTGGCTTAAACTCACACCATGCACGTGTGCGTGCGTGTCCAAGATCCTGAGAGGAGACTGGAGGAGAAAGGATTGTGGCATGGCCATCCCCCCTGGGGGTGATTTCTCGCTTTCTGTCTCTCTGTTTCTTTCTGTCTTTCTGGTGAGTGCACGTGCCCTATAGCAAATCCCTCTAAAAAAAAAGAAAGAAAAAAGAAAAGGCAGCTCTGTCCCCAGATTGCCCTCGGTCTTGAGATACAACATCAACTCTTCCCTGGGTCTCCAGTCTGCTGCTCTGCCCCGAGATTTTAGACTTGCCAGCCTCTAAAATTGCATGAATTGATTCCTTAAAATAAATCCAGATGACAGATAGACAGGTAGATATTTAGCTAGAGGATAGATAGATGATAGATAGATAGATACTACTGATTCTGTTTCTTTGGAGAACACTAATGCAAGTGTCATTAGTGGTCTAGAGCTTTAACTGGCAGGACTAGACTCTCTTTTCCTGTGTCACACCAATTGTCAACATTCCACATGATGCCTGTTTGGCAAGTCTGAGTTCCTAAGTGACCTTAATGAACAGAGTCTCTCTATTAACCCACTAGAAACAAGTAATGTAAGTAGAATCAACCTCTATAATTTTAAGTCCCCGGAATGTGGGGATTGTGTGTTATTAAGTATAATCTAATTTACACTGACTGAAACACTGGCTGTTCATCTGAGATTTGAGGTGCTAGAGTATAAGGAGAGAAATCCAGAAAAGCCATGGAACCATGAAAGGATTTTGATCTTGACCTCCCACTGAGATGCCCATACTCATGGCTCTTCCTCAAGCTCTACAGCTTCCCTCATTGCCTATTCTGGGGTCCTAGGATTCTAAACCCAGATCCAAACACACTTTTGTAAATGCATCAAAGGTACAGTCTCACTGGTGAAACTTCCCTAGAAAATGTTCAGACTTCTACTGAGGAATCTGACCTGGGCCTAGAATGGGAAGTTCTCCAAAGAACAAAAGTTTCCACTACGGCAACAAGAATGTTAAACATGACTTAAAAAAAAAAATCTCAGTAAGAGAAATGAGATGATAAGTATTTAAAAACCAAAAACCCAAGTCTGGTTCCTGTGAGGTTTCCTGCTGCATAGGGAGGGTCAAGAAGACCAGAGAGGGTTCTAGAAACAGAGCTGAATGTCCTTGGCTCACATGCAGCTGGGTTAAGTGTGGAGTCTTTGAGCAAATGCAGCTACAGAGGGTTCATAATTCTCCTTAAAATCAAGAGTAACCCAGAGGTTGCTGGTGCTCTGTCTTTATTTTGGGCAAATAAATCCAGTCTCCTGACCTTAAGTACACTTCAGAGATAAACTCTGGGGCAGAATAAAATATAATGACTTTAAACTATTCATTAGAATTGAGCTTAGAGCAGTGACTCTCAGCTGGGGGGTGGTTCCTCACCCATCCCCACCCCCCAGAGGATATCTGGCAATGTCTGGAAATGGTTTGGTTTGTTGTGATCGGGATGTTACTGGCATCTATGGGTAGAAGCAAAGGATCCTATCAAACCTATAATGCACAGAACAGTACCTTGCAACGAAGAATGATTGGGTCATTAGAAAAGTCATGATACATTTTCGCATAGAAAAACATAGAAAAATGCATCATGACTTTTCCAACGACCTAATATCTGGCCTAGAACCAAGGTTTAGAAGCCCTGGTTGAAACTAAATCCCTAGTTGTGAAGGCATGAAGGTTTAGAACAAAGAGCAGAAAGGACTTTACTCCAATTTTCCGTGTGTGTGTGTGTGTGTGTGTGTGTGTGTGTGTGTGTGTGTTATCTCCAATGGAAAAAAATCAATATACATATACCTTTAAATATTCATATACATTATACATAGATATTGGGTCATCAGGAAATTCATGACACATTTTCTGCATGGAAAAACATAGGAAAAGAAGTAATGACTTTCCTGATGGCCTAATAGATTAACCAAAACTGCACCACTGATGTGTTCCAACAGTGGCATAGTTCCTATCGGTAAGGAGATAAACTCATTGCTACTCTGAT